AAATTGCCACGCATCATAGTCCACGGTAAATATGTCTTATTTGTGCATGCAACATATTGATATAGTACGTAACGTTTACTGTGTCAAAAAATTCGCATCGACCAATAAACTCCGTTTCGTTGCTTTACTTCGCGCAATATCATGCAATCGTGCCGCCATTAAAGGTGACGTTACTAAGTCGTAACCTCCCGAATCTCTGTCCTTAAAAGCGAGTTAAAATTTTATCGAAGCAAAATCGCGCCCATAAACATGCTAAAATATTAATCTAATATTGATTTACAATTATTACAGACACCCTATATCTAAGCGACAGCTAAATGGTTAGTTTTGCTTCATAAAAGTTAGATCCCAATATTATAAATAATAAGCAGTGAAATTGCACAAATAACAAAACGACTTCTTAAGAGCTGTAGATAATATTCGCGTTTTATATTTTTGTTTTCGCCTTTTCTATAAAATTAATCGTATTTCCATCATAATAAAGCAGATCTCAAATAATAATATAATAAACAAATAAATAAATTACGTATATTAATAAATTCTCCATCTCTTATCGGATAACAATTTTGCCAATGAAAAACAGGAACGAACGATTAGCAGCGGGCGAAAAAAAGCGGAGTAACGATCGGAAAATCGTGCCATCTGGCCGAAAGCTGTGTTCACACTGAACAATGTCCGTATTATCTATCTCCACAGCGGCAACAGAAGCACGACATGGCAAATATTCGACGACCGGGATCGCTCAGTCATCGTCGAACCAAATTTCGTTGCTTCTGGCTCACTAACAGCGCAAATCGAATTCATGGCATGCACGTTAGAGGGTTTATAATCCGTGATAAAGGACTTTCGTGGCGTACGTGGCTACGACCGCTTGTAATAAAATTAAAATTCGGCTTTGTAACAGTGGCTTTGTAACGGCGGATAAAGTGCGGCAGTGTTTCTTGATATATCGATTTAGAACAATTTTATGGAGAAATTACTTCAACATAAGGCTTCGTAAACTGATTAATGGATATGGACAAAAAGTTTAATAAATAAAGAGTGCCCCGTCGATTAAATTTACATAAGTGACTTTTACGTAACTTATGGATTCATAGGGGATGAGACTCTAAAGCTCTCTGGCGAAGTATTGAATTTCAACAACTGAAGGGCGGAAATAAGTTTCGCTTCACCTCTAATGGTGCCATTAAAATAAAATTGTGTAAAAAAACGTATTATTTGAAAGGTCAGAGGATAAGAGAAAGACCGAAATTAGGATGCGAGAATAATATTTGATCACTGCATATGAAATGTCGCAATATATTTTTAACTTTAATCTTTCTACCTTTAACTTTCCACATTTGATCGAAATGCCATTATAAAACCGATTCTTTTTATTCCAAGAAACATGAAAAACATTAATAAAAATTTTTTTACGATTACATACATTTTTTTCTCCAAATCACATCCAAAAGATCGTTAATGTAAAAATAATATTCCATATAAAACAACCAAATAATAATGTCAAAATCATGAAAATTTGCTGACTTAAAATCTCCTAATTCTTTCAATGAGAAAGACAATTCTCCAATTTATTGTCCGTTCTCCAGACAAGCGACACTCTTGATGGAAAGGAAAGGAGGAGACAACGTTGCGATAAATATATCGGAAAGGTAGGCGCAGACGACGGTGCACGGGGGAACATAGCAGGAAGTCGGAAACGTGTCGAAATACCAGAACTCGTTAAAGTATTGCGCCCACACGCTTCGGTCCACTTTCGGCGGCGAGTCGCGTCGTCCTCGTCGTCGTCTAGACTCCTTGCAGACGTGACCTAAGGCCCGGATTAATTTTAGCAGTATTTTGTTTCGTCTGCCGGTCGGTGTCGTACACACACTGATGGCGTACCCATCCGGACAAACCCGTCGTGTCGGCTCGTCGTCGCGCCCCTCTAACCCGTTCGGTATTCCGAAATATTTCCCATGCACGCATGACGCGCACGCATTTCACGGAACTGCGTCGCGACGCCGAAAGTATTAGTGCCTCGCCTAGAACGGTCGCCGATGATGATTCCACTTGCTCGTCAACGATTCTCGCTTCTCGGAATAGACAACCGTCAGATTCCCGACATCGCATGTTGCGGTTCGACGAATGTAGTGTGATGCATTCACGGTATTTAAGAAGAAAAAATCTATTCCACGTCGCACATTTAGAGAAAAATTTAGCCGAGTAAAATTCTGAATTTCATTCCTGTCACCTGATATATGTATATGTATATCCGAGGTAAACACAGGATTAAAGTCAAGCGATTGCGTTTAACGTTAAGCGATGCGAATAAAGATCAAAATGTCAGGAAGACCTTTGCCTCCGCGCTAAAATGTTTTCAGGATAAAGCGAGAGTACGCCACGGAGTTTAATATTAGCTCGTTTTACCATGTATTAATTTTTTACGTGGGAAAGTAATTTTAATACCGTGAGTTCTACGATATATGAAAGAAAAAAAAAAAAGAAAAAACGTATACACAATCTTGTTCACGATATTCTTTGTTCCTCGAGAATGTCTTGGCTCGTACGTTCATCCGGGCTCGTTTACACCGGCAAAAGCTACGTAGAGTCCTGTGAGCACGTAATTCGCGTACGTTGTCCCTAAGCGTGGGTAATCGGAAACCGTCGAAGAACGCGTGAGCGGTTACGAAACACGCCTTTAATTACATGCTGCGCAGTATTGGAGCAAGCAGCGACACGCAACTGCAATTCAAGAGAAATATCTTCTTTCTATCAATAGAAAGATAAATCGTTCATTTTATGTCGGAAAATGCTACAAAAAAAATCTATAATATACTTGTTTATTAAATTTTGTAAACGTTGGGGGAGATTAAGATGAAACTTTGAACAGCATGAACTGGAATCAGATATTTCTTCAAATATATTACAGATCCGTTCACGAAAGGCTCGATTATATTCGATCGTGTATGCTAATTCTTAGTACGATCTCGTGCATCGACAATTTACAAAAGAAGCAATCGCGGTTTTACTGGCGACTCAGGCAGCACGCTATTTCCGCTTTTTGCCTAGGTCCACTTAACCGCGAGGCGAATCGAAAATCCATCTACCGTAGAAGATTTATATATCTCGTGCAGTTACGCGTAATAATTCCTTTTTAATAAGAATTTTTAATAAGATCATGGAGATTTTTCCCGCGATAATCTAGCCGGTGAAGCAATCGAGGATTTAAGCTAAAACACGGTAGAAATTATTTAATCTAAAATTTACTTTTATATTAAAAATATTGTCATCCAACTTATACCTTCTGCAATATCGAATGCAATAGTCATTCTTTTATCGGTTGTTTCTAAAAAAAAAGCACTGCAAAAAACGATATAAAAGACCGATGAAAAAAATATGCTATTTATAAGATTGTTTTTGCGAAACAAATACGAGAAGCGTATATCGTTTTTATGCCTTTAACAAAAATGTGATTTAGAAAAGCGACTTCTTATTTTTGACACCTGCAGCCTTCTTTACGTCAACTTCTCAATTTTGCAATGCTAACGTCCTCGATGACCTCGTGTCTGCGGGCATATAGGAGCATAACCGCGCGTATGCTTGCTTCAAAGTTCGCTCATCCGAGACGCATCCGAGTGCTCTGAACGAGAGAACGAAGACAAATGAAGAAAACGAGGGAGCGAGAAAGGGAAAGAGACAGACAGGGGAAGGGACGGTATAAAGGATACCGCAAAGAGAAGGAAGGGGGACGGTCGCGCGTACGGAAAAGAGAGCGAAAGAGGCCGGATGACGTTGACCTCAAACGAGGCGCCCGGCGGTTGAAAACGGTGCAGGAAGGGAGGACGCGACGCCGCGCGCCGCGACGCTGACGCACCGCGTATATTTGGCCAGCCTGCGCTCGCAACGTCCGAATCGCACATAGCAGCCTCTTCTTCTCGTAGTAGGTAATACGTCGACTGAGTTCTGTCCGCGCGATATGAGCTGCCGTCGGGCGAAAGAGTAAGTACGGCAAAGTACGAAATTAAAAATAAGCATTTGAGAAAATTTTCGAGGAAAACACAGTGTTTCCAATCAAGGAAGTTCGTTAAACTCACTTGGGCATTGAGACTTGAAAAAGAACAAAACAATTTCTCAGTATCGAGTTTGATTTTGTTCCCCTACAAAGAGATTGTTACACTTCGTTTTCATTTATTCACTATGGAGCAAACCGTTGGGAAATGTAGCTTGCTACTAGTAGAAAAATATTGCGAATTGTAAAATATGTTTTAAAAGTATTTTTTAATCGATGTATTTTCTAATTAATTTTAAGAAAAAAATATATAGAATAATCTGCAAAAACCTTAGGAACTATTTAAAAGTGCTACTTACAAGTTTCACTAATTTAAATAATTCGATAAATAAAATTATTATATTGCGTACTAATACTATGTAATATGTAATAATTCTGCAGATTTTTTGCTAGTAATCTATCTACTTATGCATGGAATTATTTTGGATCAATGTTCACCTATTTCGCATAATTGCACTCGCTGTAATTATATTATAAATATAATTGTACTCTTTTATATCTTCAGTCATGAAAAGAACTACTAACTACTGCAGCATCGAGTTGTATATCGTCACACGTAGGCTACTTCATCATTATAGAATCGAGTGAATCATACAATCGATAATCGTGAGGCTGAATAAGATCGCGGCGAAGCGCAAAATAATAAACGGGCAAAGCGAAAAGATATAGGTGCTGCATAGCGACATTTTGGCGCAAATCTGCGCTATGCGTTTTGCCACTAATCGACAGCGATCTCTCGCATACGTCGTTGCACCTTCGGGTCTTTCCATGCGAACACCACGATCGCTGAGAGGTAGTTCCGTGTGTGTATTTGTCTTAGCTCAGTTATACGGCCAACACTTGCATTTTTCCGTATATATCGTACAGGATTTTGCCAAAGCGAGAGAAATATATGACATATAGACGATGAACTTTCGGAGGACAACGACAACAAAAATGAGCAACTCACCGGTTGAAGCTCGTCTCGGAGGTGGCGTGTTGCTGCAGCCGGCTGATTTGGAAGAGCTGTTCGTCTCCTCCGCCTTCGTCACCCCCGCCCCGCCCCCGACACCGTCCCAAACATCGGTTCTGGATTCGTCGGATTTCTCATTACTGTCGTTGACCTCTTCGTCGTCTTCCGCTTCCATTGCTGCACATACGAAATATTGAGAATTAGTGAAATTGCGTGGTAAAATATCTTATCGAGTAAAAATGAACGAGAAATTATTACTGGCGAGATTTGGAGCAGCAGTATGTTAAATATCTGTAAGGAAATCTACAAATATCTTCTTGGTTATATTGAGAACATTGAGAACATTGTATATAATAAACTAAACAGCACAGACTAACCGCCTTAAATTCGTTATCAAATTAAGAACTGAGTTATTAACATGAATGCAAAAATAAATGGCGCATCTTAGATTTCTGTGTCGCGAATGCATGAAAATAATCTGTATGCTTACTCGCAACAATGCAAACGCGACAATATAGCACCTTCTCCCCTATTTATAGCATCCTAAGTTAAACTCACAAACGAAATTATACCGCTCCCGTTTCTTGAAATATCTAAGCGTACGGATTTTGCGACAATTCCTCGAGGTAGTGAAATCATCTGTCGAGAGAACTACGTCGTAACAAATCGTCCGCACTGGCCTCGGAAGAATGACCGAATCGATCGTAGACAAATCGCGCGCCTTCCGCCCGTAATTCGATTTCTTTTTGTCCGCCACGAAGAGTGAAGCCACCGGCACGGCGGCGGGAAGTACGGTCGACGAATGTAACGAGTACGATGGCAGCGACAGGTGGTGCGATAGCAGTGAGGAAACGATTCAAAGGAGAAGATATTACGGACATCCCCGAGACTTTGAACGAGCTCGCCCCTACTTAGATCTTCGCTTTTCCTCGCTATCCTCCATCTCGCCCGCTCCGCAATGCCCTATCTGATTTTCCTTACCGCCCTTTACGTCCCTGTTTAGTATCGATTCCTATTGATTTTCTTTTTCGGCTACTTTCTATTGCATTATGCTTACAGAAATGCAATAAACAGTTATTGAATAGCATACAGTCACTGATTACGTGAATTCGTGATTAGAGTAATTCTTACGCGACGTCAAATGTTCAATTTTTAAACGACAGTGCACTCCTTATTTTGTCAAAGCTAATAACAAAGAAATAATAAATATTTATTTCTCTGCGCATAAAATAATTATCCAATTAATTTTTAAGTAAAATATGACTTTGATTATTTCCAAATTCTGCTTGTATCTCACATATCTTGAATAAAGCTAATGATATAAGAAAAATATCTTGTAAAAAAATGTAATGTGCCAATGAGTGAAATACTTGTCAATCACAATTTGAGAATAATTTTGATAAGTTCATATTTCGTATACTATAAACGTAAAAGAAAATGATATCTGTATTACAATAGCAACGCAACAACTGGCATAAAGTATATATTTACGTATCTATAGCATCAAAGAATAAATTCCCTTAAAATTATGTAGGTTTCATTAATCTTTGCACAATGTAGACAAACGTTCTAAATGACTAATAACTATACTTTGTACTTTACTTTGTACTTTATAATTTTACTTTTCGTGCATCCCACCGAATTATTATACTTTTACATAGCAATTGAAGTAACGTCTTCCTTCTGTGGTGTCTTTAAACGGCATAACAAAAGCGACATGACTCGCTTCGGTCAATCTTCAATACAAGAGAAAAAAATGTAAACGAAAAAAAAGTATAATACGTAAATACACCCGACGAAAAATCGCAAATCGGTTTCTCATCTGAAATTTTGTCTATTCGATTCTAGGTTCTCTATTATCGCAAAACTTGATCGAACAAACCGTGTTCTCTATTGGATTTTCTATCTAAAACGAGTATCCACTCTCTTCGAGACTATCTTCATCGTACGGTATATTTTCCGAGATATTGACTGTCTCGATGTAATGAACACTACCGATCGAAAGATAGAGGCCGGCTTAAAACATTCATTTAAATCACGCGCACAATGCATTTTATACTCACATATATTTTGTCCGCTGCATACACGAGTAATTATAAGTTTTCTGAGCATTTGCCTTATTTTTTATTAAGTTAATCTATTTATCCACTATTATCGGATTTCATCGAATAAAGTACTTTTGTCAATGATCTTGTAAGATGTTTAGTAAATCGTGATACATATAACAAGAAGATGTCATCTATATCCTGTAAAGAAACAAGTAAAAAATACAAAATAAATTTTAATTGCGTAGTTTGCGAACAGAAAAATTTCCAAAATCCAAAAGTAACACGTTTATTTTATTGTAGAAATAAATATATAAGAGATTTGTACGCTGAGAAAAAGAGAAATTAGAAAGCAATAATAATTGATTGCAAATGAATTACCGTTAGCAGTTTTGAAGAATTTCCGAATTTTACCTATCTCTGTAGATGCCTATGTCTTTCCGTTTGGAAGATTCAGTATAAACTGAAAACGATATGCTCGGTATCCTAATAAGTACGCAATGTCACGTAAACAAAATATCATATGAAATTTTCCACGGTCAAGAGACGCGTGTAACGTAAATATCAATAAACAGTCAAACATACGCGCAAAACGTTACCTTCATATTCCAAATTATTTTTCAGAAAAACTCTACACTCAATCGAGAGGAATTTATTCCATATATTTTAATTGTTCTTTCACGAGGAATTATTTTTTTCGGATGTACCATGATTTACCAGGCAATCTGTGCTACCATTTAACAACTGTATCACTTGTGTAATCGAATTTTTTTAGTGTTACGATATAAATGTATAGCACGTGTATACACAATTGCAAAATTAAAACTTATTACATGTATAATTTAATGCTGCATATAATAAATTTATTTTTTGCAAACAATATCTATTCATTCTTGATTGGGAAAAACAATGTATTAAAAATGGATTTAAATATAATAGATTGCGTTTTCTGTTGTCCAAATTTTTATCAATCTTTTCTGAATGTCCTCAAATTAATAATCCCCTCAGTGTTACATAAACTGATCTCAGACAGGCGTGTTTTTAGCTGTAAGTTTAATGGATTCTGACGCTAATTGCAGGGTTAAAATAGTATTACTTTGCAATGACGTGCATTGTCATCCACGAATAATTAACACAAGTTCAAGTATCTGGCGCAGGGGTCTAAGAAATCGTCATTTTCCCATGAAACCGCGCATAGTCAGCGCGTAGGAAACCGGAGCCACCACCTTGTGCGCTATCACGTTCTCTCTCTAGATTTCCCTCTCTCCCGCGACCTTCGGAAAGTTCTCTCCCCTTTGCTCCATTCGTATTAGGCGCCACGATTGGGCGCCAAATGACGGCGACCACGACTGTGAGGGGTGCTGCTGCTAGAGGGATGAAGATCGCGGCACGCAGAGGGTGAGGAAAGGGGAGACGAGAGACAGACAGAGCGAGAGAGAGAGAGGGAGAGAGAGAGAGAGAGAGAGAGAGAAAGAGAGGAGAGAGAAGAGAGAGAGAGAGAGCGAG